TATATATATATATATATATATATAGTTTTGTTTACAGCTGAAGTTAATATACTTACTTTATTGTGCTATAAAATTTGACAGTATCTGGGAAATACGTAATGATGCTCCTTTAAGATGCAGCAGATCAAATATCACATAAAATGACTTCAGTATTTCAGAATAACGTTGAACTCGAATTATTAGTTTACGCTCAAGTAACTGATGAAGTTATAAAGCCTTAAACATAAATTACAGTTTTAGTTGAACCAGTATATGGCAGCAGAATTGCAACGCTTTTATTATTGTAACTACGTAATGACGTCAACACTTTACTGAGCTGTCTTGTGCGAGTCAAAGAGTAGTGAAATGGTGAGAGGCGTTACACCTGGAGAAATTGGAAAGTTTCAAAGTACGTTTAAAATACACTTTTTATCATTTATTTGTTCATTTATCTATTTTAAGAAGCACCTGTTGCATTGACATCTAAAATGTTTCATATGGGTTTGGTTATCAAACAGTAGATTATATGAGACAGTTCGTTATGGAGTCATCATTTATACTTCCTGGTTTTTTGTTTTTTTTTCATATCCCCCCTTAAGGTGAATGTGTTGATGGTTTGTTTTTGTGGATTTAAGTTGTTAAACTAAGCCAAAAACGTATTTTTTCTTTTTTGTTTGTTTGTTTGTTTTAAAACTTTCTTTAAACACAATATCAATGAAAACAATCACCCATGTATCCATCGTCTATATCCAACCCAGCAATGAAAGTATTTAATATATCTTAAATGTCTTGATCTCTTAAATTCAGGAATAAAAGATATATTTTAGAAAGGTCAGCCTTTTTATAAAGCGATAATTTATTTTTAGTCTGTCATTTACATGCAAATGAGCTAATAAAACAGCTCACCAATTCGCAGTAGGTCGACATTATAAATATGTGGCAGCCTGAACACACCAACTCCATGTTGAAGCACGGTGTGGAGCAAGAACAGGGACAATCACCTTCCAGAAGGACAACAATCATGAATGGTTTAGAGTGTACCGTATTCATCTGTTTAAATGTCCTAGTCAAAGTACAAAGATAAATCTGATTAAGAATTCATGGCGAGACTCGTAAATAGTTGTTTGTGGACGCTTTCCATCCCGTCTGACAGCTTTAGGTATTTTCTAGAAGTTTTAAAGCTGGTAGATGCGTACCACATTTTTTAGTTTTCAGGCAAGAGAAGTTTATTTGTGTATCACTTTTTGGCTTGGAAACATAAAACATGAAACATTTCATTTAGTATAATAAAGGAAAACCACAAAAACTTAAAATACAGACAAAATAATTGTGTTTCAGTTTTTGAAAAAGCTCCAAACAAGGACTGGGTTTGTTAATTAGCCTGTGACTTGAAAACAACAGTCGCTTTGTTTTTAACATTAATATACAGGCGGTCAATGATGAAATAAATTTGAATTGTTTTGTTTCATTCTTTTGAACCACTACTGCTTCCACTTCACAACTGTGTTTATTTTTGTTGGATTATCGCATAAATAAAATATCCCATGCCTGTAACAGTTTTGAAGCGCTATATTTTTTCCAAATCAGAGTGATTCATCTGTCCACATATAGACGATCTTGTGGGTGCAGTACCCTCTCCGGGGCGTTAGGTGGCAGTAGAACGATGCCCCGTTTCCTGCGGAGCCGCACAGTCACAACAAGAGGAGGAAGAGGAAAAACGACAACTCTGGATCTGGATCGTCGTCGACTGCCTTGCGTGACAACACAGGGATCGTTCAGACTTTGGGTATTGGCGCTTTTTATTCTCCTCTCTCTGTCGTGTCGGAGCGCCGCGGATCGGCCGCACTGCCGCCCGGTTTGTAGCGGTACGTGCCCCGCGGTGTCGCCGCTGTCGGAGCGCTGCCTGTCGGGCTGCAGAAACACTAACCGAGGCTGGTTGGCTGGCTGGCCAAGATGGCTGGGCGCAGTGAAATGTGAAATATTCTCGCTAAGGTTGATCCTTTCCTGCACGCAGCGTTGCTTGTCACGCAAACATTGGCGCGGAAATGCGCTGGTCACCCGCAGAACAGTTCGTGTGTTTGTTTCTGTTTGTGTTTTTATTTTTATTTTGATTAGCTTAACCAAGGCTCAGCTCGCTGTTGGGGCCTGCCTGTCGTAATTGCTCCTGTTCAGAGGCTTTTTGCATGATTGATTTAGCCACTTCTTTTTCTTCTTCGCGTCTTATTTGTAAATAAAAGCACTTTTAATTGCATGTTGCATCAAATGCTGCTTCTCAGTTTGTTTGTTTTACAATTAGAGGCATGCGAGTAGAGCTCCACCCCTCTGCTGTTGCATGCAGCCCTGATCTGGTGTGAAAATTAAAGCACATCTTTAGTTTCTAATCACATCGTACCACCATTTCCACACCTAAATACCCATAAAAAGGTTTGCAATGTTCATATATTATATTAAAAGTATCATTTTCTGCTGATTTTAAGCGGGTTTCTTCACCAAACAGCATAAAAACATCAACCTAAGTAGAATACAGGAAATGACGTAGGTAAAGGAAAACTCGGGATCACATCAGCTGAGTTGAACATATATATTGTCAGTGATTTCTCTGTTTTGTGTTAAAGATGCACCGAACTGACATTTCCTGACTGAGATTTAATTTCCGATTTTCTAAAGTCAATGTCTCAACTAAATTTCAGTTTAAAGTTGTAAAAACTAAGAACTTTACCCATGTGATCTTTATAAACAAATAAAGCAGCAACTGCAGATTATTTTTTGATAAATTAAAAGATAAAGATTGGAGAGTTTTTTAATTACTTTGTTTCCTGCTGGATTTGAGCTTACAGCCTCCATCAAGGAACTTGTTGCATATTGTTTAAGCTTCTTTGTGTATTTTACTACTTAATCTTTGATCTCAAATGAATACTTTGATGCAGTTTTGTAAGTTAATGTGTTTCATGAACTATACATTCACTCCTTGCATACTAATAATATGTTTTTTCTGTTGGATGGGACGTTTTCTCACCGTTTATTATGTATTGGATTTATATTTTAACAACTGAGACGCTAAAGCTAACATATGGTGGTCAGAACATTGTGATAGTTATAAACAAAAATGGAATATTTATTACAACATCACAACGTCTCTCTACCTGGCTTTCTGTCGATACAGTGAAACAGATTTAAAGAGGAGTGACAAAAGCAAAGGAGGTGGATTAGCAGTGCATTTCATTCACTTCATATTACTGTGGAGTATTGTGTCTGCTGCTCAGAAATTGAGCTGTTAGCGTGACATGACAACTGTTATTACATTTTAGGGAACTGTTTAAAAAAGTTTGTGTATTTGGATCTTTAATGTATTTTTAAAAATAGGCTTAAGTGGTTAAATAAAAAAATCTGCAGAATGTGCCAATATTTTCACCCAGTTAATCAGTTAATTATCAGTATAACTGATTACTAAGATTATCATTATCAGACAATAATATCCTGTCACTAAAGAAGCAGTATTTTGTAAAATCAACTTTTTTGCGTTTACGTCATGTTATAATGTTATTTCCTCATCAAGACATACCTGGACTGTTGCCTTGATTCTTTCTTTTAATTATAATTTAAAGTTTATTGATCTTTGAGAATGTGTTCTTGCACTGTTGTACCATTGAAAATCCTCTAAAGACAATATTATCGTTTATCGTAATAATTACTGGGACTGTTTATCATCCAGCTACATTTGTTATGGGGGCAGGTTTAATACCGCCCCTTTAAGGCGTTTCTAACCTGCGTCTCTGTCGCCTGCAGGTTGCTCCAGCTTGACCTGCACCATGTCTGATTTGCTGAGATACATCGACTACGACCACAAAGCCACCTTCCTGAAGATGCTGAACCAGCAGCGCATGGAGGGCGAGCACTGCGACGTGGTGGTGGTGGTGGAGAACATCGAGTTCCGGGCGCACCGCTGCGTCCTCGCCGCCTGCAGCAACTACTTCAAGAAGCTCTTCAAGAAGCAGAGTGACGAGGACAACTCCATCGTGGAGCTCGACTTCATCCGCTCCGATATCTTCGAGGAAGTGCTCAACTACATGTACACAGCGCGGCTGGCGGTGCGGAAGAAGGACATCAACATGATGATGTCGTCCGGACAGATCCTCGGCATCAACTTCCTGGACAACCTTTGCACCCAGAAGCGGGAGCTGACCAACATGAAGACCCGCGAGAACCAGGCGCCGGACGACCACGGCATGCGGGCGCAGGACGCCATCTTGAAGGAGCTCGCCATGGAGGAGGTGAGGAAAAACAGCTTCTACGACCAGGGGATGGACGCCATCGGCCCCGGCGGCTCCCACGTCTCGCAGCCGCACAGCTACAACACGGGGCTGGGGAAGGACCCGCACGCCCACGGCTGGGGGTCGTCGACCTCCGCCGCCGACATGAAGCTGGAGTACCTCCTGTACGGCCACCGCGACCACAACTCCTGCCAGAGCGCCAGCGCCAAGCCACTCGACCACAACGCCAAGAAGGAGCGGCTGCTGACCGCCAACCGCCCGTACGGCTGCGAGCACTGCCCCAAAGCCTTCACCACCGCCGCGCACCTCAAGGAACACCTGAAGATCCACTCAGGCTTCAAGCCCCACCGCTGCGTCGTCTGCGGCAAGGCCTTCATCCGGGGGCCCGATCTGAAGCGGCACGAGCGCGTGCACAGCAACGAGCGGCCCTTCGCCTGCCAGATGTGCGAAAAGGCCTTCAAGCACAAGTCCCACCTGAAGGACCACGAGCGGCAGCACCGGGGCGAGCGGCCCTTCAACTGCGGCTCGTGCGACAAGGCGTTCATCAAGGCGTCGGACCTGAAGCGCCACTGGAACACGATGCACAGCGCCAACCCACGCAGACAGATGTCGCTGTCGCCCGCCGCCTCCCAGCACGGCCCGGCGGAGGCCGCCGACCAGAGAGACTGGAAACTGGAGACCGGGCCACACTCGCACAACTCTGGGGACTGCTGAACGATCCGACACACACACACACACACACACACACACACACACACACACAAACCAACATTGACATACAGGGGCGTCTCAATAAATAGGAATATAATCAATAAGGTAATTTTATTTCAGTCATTTAATCCAAAACGTACGACGGAGGATGAGGGCCATGCTAAGAAAATAAAGAAAATTACAAGAATAAAGTCAACAATATTATTAATTTATTCTCATAATATTTACATTATTCTAAAAATATTATTACTTTATTCTCGTATTATTTCGACTTTATTCTCATTATTTTATTTTTTAACCTTTTTCTCAATATGGCCTTTATACTCCATCATAATCTCATGTTTAAAAAAAAACAATTCATTACAGACAGAATATTTTCAAATTTTAATTTCTGTTATTTTAGAGCACAGGTGCCAAACTCAAGGCCCGTGGGCCATATCCGGCCCAACAAAGCTATTTTTGTGGCCCTCTGTACTCCAGATTCGTTTAGAGGGCCACATAATTAGAATTTTAAGATAAATATTACTTTATCAGTCAAAAGGAATCACTTAATATTTGAGAAAATATGTGTTAAATTTTAATTAATCTTAAAAAGCACAACTCAAAAGCAGAGAAAGATGTAATATTTTAAGTTTGTCAGTATGTAGCTTTATTAATGATTTCATGATTTCAATTTGACCCGAAATTATTTTTTGACACCCTTGATTTAGAGGATTTTAGCCAAAACATGGTTTAATTACACAAAACTGTGTTGTAATAGGATTTAACAGAAAAAAGTTCCACACCACAAATAGTAAAAACTGCAGAACTGAATCTGATGTATTAAAAAAAGAATAGTATTACACTGTGGCTAAATGATTATTTTAGTTATTAAGTTATTCTTTTGACCATTAACAATTAAAAATTGTTACAATTGGATGAAAAAATCAGATTCTGCACTTAAGCCTTTTTTTTATGCAGTATTAAAAAATGCGAATAATTTAATTACATTTTTAAATTATTACAATTTGCTTAAAATACAAATGTTATATTTTTCTACAGTTTAACTTAATTAATCCTATGACTGTCAGCAAATTACCTTTTCTCTTTGTCCGCATATTCCAGTTCATGATTAATTGATTACTAAATTAGTTGACGATTATTTGATGAATCGATTAATCACGATTAACCCGATTAATCGCTTCAGCCCTACAGTACACACACAGTAATATTTACTTTAATTTTAAGGATTAACATGAACACAAAACTATTTTTATAAGATTTTTAACTGATAGTTATTTTATGTAGCTGCTAACTTTAGGGTTATCTATTAGTCAGTCACACCCACAAAACCACAAAAAAAGCAGAATGTGCCATGTCCAAGCATATTGATGGAAAGTTAAGTGTAAGGATAAGCTTTAGTGGAAAATGTTAACAGTACTCCATAGATTCTTAGAATCATTTTGGTGATTGAATAAGCTTTTGGTGTCTTTGGAAGTGAGGGCAGAAAAATAAAATCAGCATTTCCATTAAGTTTGTTAGCAAACAGAAGCTTTCATTGCTCTACACTTTTCCAGGCAGACATCTACTCTGACAATGCACTTGATGAAACACAGAGGACCAACATAAGTAGATGCACATTGCACCTCAAATCATCACTGACTGTGGAAACTTTACACTGGACCTCCTTTAACCTCTCTTTTATGACCTCGATTTTCAAATAAGACACAAATTTTACTTTTATCTGAAAAGAGGAATTTTGGGCCTGATTCAGAAACAGCCAAATATGCAACATGCATCAGGTGCTGCCCGTTTCCTGCGTTTTTACATTGTCTACTATCACACTTTTTCCTTCCACTAAACTTTCATAACATTTCTGTGTTAAAAATCTTACGTAACTTATGAGAATTTCAGGTTGTAGCCAATCAAATGGTTTGAAAAATGTTAGTTTCACTTTTTTTATTGAATTGCTGACTTTAGTTATCTTTTTGATTATATTGTAATTAATTGAGATGCCAGTGGCCTGACTTGCTAACATGCACACTTTAATCCCACTTACACACACCGACACAAGCACGAGGACAGTGATGGGAGTGCAGAACAGGAGAGCAGAGCATGTTCATAAAGACTGTGAGGCTGTATTATTATTATTATTATGATTATTATTATAATTCTACAGAGTTATGTCCTTCCCACCTGTAAAGTCATGTAAATGTTTAGTTCACTATACTATACATATATTTTTCACAAAGCATCGTCGCTATCTAGACCTGAGGGGTTCTCATAACGTTATTTTTTTTTCTTTTTAATAAAAAACATTTAAATGTTCGTTTAACCTTTTATGGATTTTATGGAGATAATAACAGAGTCCAAGAAGGAAAGAAAGAGGGAATGGGGGGAGAAAATAATTTTCTGCATAACATTTGTTGCATTGAGTATATTCATGTGGATGTTTTTAAATGGATGTTTAGTTGTATTGATTGATATTACACTGTAAAAGTAAGACGCAGACGAAACCAAAGTCTTGGACTCCTGACGGATCGTCCTCAGAGACTGTCCTGTCCAAGCAGAACCGGCCAACTAGATTTACTGTTATACAGTATGACTGTCATCCGGGGCTATCCACAGATAATGATCGGTGTCTGTATATACTGTAGCTTAGTTTGTTGCACAACTAGAGTTCACAATATTGAAATCATGCACATATAACATTGTCCTACTCCTACACTTTGACAATAAACACCATTTGCTGTGTTTTAATGTTGTCTTTTTGTGGAAGCAATAAAACTTTTACAAATGTTTCTTCAACGTACATCTGGGCTAAAGTTTTACCGTGACGTATGTAATGCGCCAGTTCGACGGTACGAAGCTTTTCGGAAATTGTCTGCGCTGTAAACCGCCATTCTCCACTGCGAAGAGAGAAGTGCCGAGCTCAATGAAATGGCTGTCAATGTTAATTCATTATTTCGAAGCGCGGACGGCTTCGTTCACATCCTCCGTTGCCGTAGCTAAACTACAGGCAGACTACAATTCTAAAACAGCGCAGGAAATCGACGTCATCGTTCACGTCTCGTCCTTTTGTTCGCTGATTGGCTTGGTAGAAATTCTAAACCGTCGGTGCTACGTCATCTGCAGCTCTACATGCTAGCGATAGCCCTCATGCCAACGTTAGCCTTCCACGCAAAATAAGCATTTTACATTATTATTATTTTTTTTTAGTTATGTTTATCACACTGAATGGATTAAGTCAATATAAATCAACGTAGTGGTGATAGCACATGTGCTACTGACAGCATTTAAGATAACCTTAGCATTTTAGATAATTTTTGTTTACGTTAGCACATTGAATGGAGTAATTTTTGTTGGTCAACATGTTGCTCATGACCCACATCCTACTGCTAGTGTCAACATGCTATTTACTCTACATGCTAGTGATAGCCCTCTTGCTAACATTAGCTTTGAACCTAAAATCAGCATTTTAGCAAATTTTTTATTTATTAGATGTTTATCATACTGAATGGAGTAACTCTATGTAAATCAACATACTGGTGACACCCCACATGCTATAGGTGCCCAAAGTCGGTCCTTGAGGGCCGGCATCCTGCATGTTTTAGTCCGTCCCTGGTTTAACGCACCTGGATCAAATGATGTCTCATTAGAAGCCCTAAGAAGAACATTGACATGCTGAGAAGGTTGTTACTACCACCAGGGAGAGAACTAAACACCGGCCCTTCAGCACCGACTTTGGGCACCACACATTTAAGGTACCCTTAGAATTTGGGGTAATTTTACGTTATATACGTTAGCATACTGAATGGAGTAATCTTGTGTTAGTCAACATGCTTGTGATAACCCTCGCACTACTGGTAGTATCAACATGCTAGTGACTCAATATGACTTAACTACTAAACAAAGGATCTTAAAATGACTTAACTATGCAAATGTTGTCAATAAATGCAGTGCAAACAGTAAATACAAAACAATATTGTTCAAAACAAATATTAGCTAATAATAATTAGCTAATTATTATCATTAGCTAATAATTAGCTAATGTTTGTTTTGAACATTTCTGAGATATATATCAGATATATATAAGACTGTGTATATTCCCTTTTGTAAGTACATTTCATTCAATTCCCTCTTATTTTCTAACAAAATTCTATAGTATTTATTCACATTTTTTTTAAAAAATCCTTAGTGATCACTAGGCCTGTCACAATAACAAATTTTGTTGGATGATAAATTGTCTCAGAAGTTATTGTGATAAACAATATTGTTGTTTTGAGACCATTTTCAAATAATAATGCTAATGGCTTAATAATAACAAAACATTTTATTCTCAAAGACCAATAAACTTTAAATTCTAACTGTAAGTCTTTTTAAAGACATAATAAATAAACAAAACAACAAAGGAAATTCATTATGAAGACTGTAAACAAAATTGTCCTTCAAAAGAAGGGCTAGTTGAGACCAAAGTACCAAACTGAAGAGTTTTAACTTCTAGTTTTTGATGAGAGAGAAACAATAAATCATACAAATGGAAATTATTGAGCTTGTTTTAATTTATCATGTGATTACTTGATTTATTGCTTCTTGCGACAGGCCTATTTACAACTTGAGTGGAGTCAGTCTGTGATGCATTTACTTGACTGAGCATGACTGGAAAGTAAACAACTTGTTTATGTAGACATATTGAATAAATTAACATGCATTTTGACTCAGCCTTTGGTTTGTTGTAAAGGCTCAGTCACTCAGCCATCTCAGGTCACATTCTGCACCTTCAGCAAAACCGTTTTTATTTTGAGAATAATAAAGCCTGGAGGAAAAAAATCAGTAGAAATCTCAGCGCTCGTCTCATACTCTGTATGCAACACTAGATGGTGCCCTGTTCCTAGTGATTGACCCGTTCTTGTCCATCTTTGACCTGCTGGTGTCCACCGTCCATCGCTATGGGAACCAGAAATGACACTGGTTTAATGAAAAACCTGCAGTATTTATTAAAGGAAGCTGAGTTCAGAGTGAAAAACACAGACTGAGTGAAATGTATGCGCTGTCACACCTCTGTGTTTTCCATGCATTTTACATGCGCTTGGAGGGATGCCG